ATAGGATGTTTGCTGATCAAGCCAGATGACGGACATTGACTTGGTTTCGGGTGACAGTTGACAAGAATGACGTTACACGAGGACTTGCTGAGAATTCTCCACGGGATAACTTGTCGATAGCCTGGACACAGGGATAGCTCTTAGTTAGGACACACGCTTGATGTTTTGACTGAATGATGAGGGGGCGGATTTTTTTTATGTCTGCCGCAGCACACAATGCTTCAGTTCCAACATGGAAGTCATGTTATTTAATGCTTTAGTTATTTTGCTCTGAAGAATCCTGCCAGAAAGAGTTGTCCCTTGCGTGATACATACAAAGTGGCACCGTCTGACCATTGGATTTTGTCTTTAGATTGCAGACCCGCGATTGCTTCCTCTAACGGTGCAAGAGTCTGTAGGCATTCAGGCACGACGCGTCCAAGGACTTTAAACACACCAATGAATGAACGCAACCCGAATACTGTATCTGGGCGGGACATGATGACAGTACAGCAATTCTATGTGGGCTAGCTGATATCTTGCTTTGTGACCAGATCCATCCAAGAATTTCTGTAGTACGAGGACATATGGTGGTTTTGGTAGGGGATAATCGAAGATCACAACGTTGTAGGGACAGTAGAATCTTAGACCAGTTCGCAAGAAATTGCTCTGGGGTATTTCCACCACAATAAAGGTCATCAGCTAGCTTCGTTACGAAGCCTTTCTGCAAGTAGTCCCCCAATGCACGGCACATCATTTCCTCCAGGGCGGTTTCTGACCCTAGCACGCCCATCGCACATCTGGTGTATACTCTAACGCCACGAAATTGGGTAGTTATTCCGCAGTTCTTCATTGACTGTTTCGATAGTGGGATTTGGTAGATACGCTTGTTAAGTCAGACACGATGATGTATTTCCGCTGGCCGATGGTCCGTAGAATGGAATCAGCATCCGGCATTAGGGAGGGTTGTGACTTTGAATATCGTCCTACGTCCTCAAATGCTGTGACAAGACGAACGTTGCCATCTGGTTTCTGTACAAGAAATGATGGGTTGAGGTACTCTGAAGTAACTCCAATATCTTCAGGTTTACGTAGTACGCCCAGTGCCTCTATTTCATCATATTTTTACTGCAAGGCATTGATGTTGTTCTTGGCATACAGAGGAACTCGGCCTTTTGTGCTGTGGTGGCTGTACTGGGCCCATGTTTATGTTTGCTTGGAAATGTCCAGCTGCTCCATTGTACCCAGCGTAGTTTGGGTCAAAGACGTCGTCTGATGGGTAGTGTCTGTGTGGTAAGTTGATGAGCGTGTATATTGGGTATGCGGGGTGATTTTACTAACATTAGCACTATCGGCCTGTTGACCAGAACTAACTTGGCGGAAATGTTCGTTCCGGTGGAGAGCTTGGGGCTCATTGGTGTTGTTTACGATGCGAAGTTTTCCTCCAATGACCTCAATTATATTGGGGCTTGGTCAGTCTACGGACTTGGTTGCCAGGCCAACGCGTGGTTCCACAGTTAATGCACTTTCCGGGTCGAGGGTTGTTGGAATGTCAATTTCAACAAATGAGCCTGGCCACACAATTGTTGACGAAGTAGCGGAGCGGAGGACGAATGCCTGTGTGCGGCGTATGCGGTGTTCCGTAGCATCGTTATTGGTTTGACCATAATGTATTACGTTTGATTCATCAATTAAGATAGGGTGTTTAGCTGGCCTTACAGATATATCGTTTGTGGTCATGAATGGTATGCCCACTAGTCTGTCAACATCCAATTCGTTCACCACCAGTGCCAATGTGTGTAGCAAGCGATGACTTCTCATACTGCTCTCTGCTCCTGTATTCAGTGTTAAATACACCGGGTGGCGCCTATGAAACGCTTTCATATGGGGGAATGCTTTGTGCTCATATGACATACAAGTGGGGCTGAATGTTCTATGGAACTGGGGTCAGTATCAAAATTATCATCAGAAACTTTCTTTGTGACGTAGTCGTCAGTGCTGGTGATCTGTCTCGACTTTCCCATAAACTTTCTGTCATCCTCGGGTCAGAACTTACATGCACTCAGTAAGTGGTTGGTACAGGGACGGCCAGATTGTTGGCACAGAGGGCATCTGCGGTTATTGGTTTTGAATATATGACTAGCCAAAGAACTGTCAGTACTAGGTGGTGATGATCTTGCTTTGACCTGCTTTTCTCGAGCTGACCGGACAAAAGTTGGCTATCTGACCTAACCTCGGCAAAGTTATTGTCAAGTGATAATGTATGCTGGAGGTTTTGTCGCCAAGCCTGGAACGATGTGATAGTCTCTGATTTGGTCAGTGACCACTGTTTAGGAGCTCACATTGTGGTCATCATAGTACGTGAAATGTGTGTTTTTCACGGAAGTGAGTGTGTCTAGTACGTTACAGATATTACATAAATTGTCTCCCTCCCGCGTTTGTATCGCGATGAAGTATCTCTGACTACGTATCAGGCTGTTAGGATTCCTACGGGCGACGTAGATACTGTAACCAACCGCTCCTACCACGCCGGTCATCTGATGTATCCAGACGAACACCAAGACACATTAACTGTTCACAATATGGCCGAATACACCTGTATTTGTTAAAAGTTTTAACCCCAGCACCATCGAAAAGTTCGAACAACGGATCTCACTTCATATCAACGGTATTATTCAACTGTCTCTCTATATATATAGTGGCGCATACTTCTATTAATACGGCGGCGTCAGATGGTGCCGTCACACAAACGTCACTTCACGGGTTTTAACTTCCGCCCAGTCATATCAAACATAGGAAGAACTTTCTAACAGTACAATGACGCAGTTTCATCTACATGTAAACCAGAATGCATTACAATGAACTTAGTTTATCAAATGTAAAGACTTTATATTACCCTCTATACTCATCCTTAATAACAGTTCGGCAGCATTTTACAAAATTACTTCGTTAGAGGTCCAATCTGACTCAGGATTGCGCGAGACGTCGGTACTAATGTCCTCCCTCTGTGAGTCAGGACGGAACTCTAATGACGTGTAAGAGACGTGGTACTAATGTCCTCCCTCTGTGAGTCAGGACGGAACTCTAATGACGTGTAAGAGACGTGGGTACTAATGTCCTCCCTCTGTGAGTCAGGACGGAACTCTAATGACGTGTAAGAGACGTGGGTACTAATGTCCTCCCTCTGTGAGTCAGGACGGAACTCTAATGACGTGTAAGAGACGTGGGTACTAATGTCCTCCCTCTGTGAGTCAGGACGGAACTCTAATGACGTGTAAGAGACGTGGGTACTAATGTCCTCCCTCTGTGAGTCAGGACGGAACTCAAATGACGTGTAAGAGACGTCAGTACTAATGTCCTCCCTCTGTGAGTCAGGACGGAACTCTAATGACGTGTAAGAGACGTGGGTACTAATGTCCTCCCTCTGTGAGTCAGGACGGAACTCTAATGACGTGTAAGAGACGTGGGTACTAATGTCCTCCCTCTGTGAGTCAGGACGGAACTCTAATGACGTGTAAGAGAGACTGTGAGTCAGGACGGAACTCTAATACTATGTCCTCCCTCTGTGAGTCAGGACGGAACACTAATGTCCTCCCTCTGTGAGTCAGGACGGAACTCTAATGACGTGTAAGAGACGTGGGTACTAATGTCCTCCCTCTGTGAGTCAGGACGGAACTCTAATGACGTGTAAGAGACGTGGTACTAATGTCCTCCCTCTGTGAGTCAGGACGGAACTCAAATACGTGTAAGAGACGTGGTACTAATGTCCTCCCTCTGTGAGTCAGGACGGAACTCTAATGACGTGTAAGAGACGTGGGTACTAATGTCCTCCCTCTGTGAGTCAGGACGGAACTCAAATACGTGTAAGAGACGTGGTACTAATGTCCTCCCTCTGTGAGTCAGGACGGAACTCTAATGACGTGTAAGAGACGTGGGTACTAATGTCCTCCCTCTGTGAGTCAGGACGGAACTCTAATGACGTGTAAGAGACGTGGGTACTAATGTCCTCCCTCTCCCTGACTGTGAGTCAGGACGGAACTCTAATGACGTGTAAGAGACGTGGGTACTAATGTCCTCCCTCTGTGAGTCAGGACGGAACTCTAATGACGTGTAAGAGACGTGGGTACTAATGTCCTCCCTCTGTGAGTCAGGACGGAACTCTAATGACTCTAATGTCCTCCCTCTGTGAGTCAGGACGGAACTCTAATGACGTGTAAGAGACGTGGGTACTAATGTCCTCCCTCTGTGAGTCAGGACGGAACTCTAATGACGTGTAAGAGACGTCGGTACTAATGTCCTCCCTCTGTGAGTCAGGACGGAACTCAAATACGTGTAAGAGACGTGGTACTAATGTCCTCCCTCTGTGAGTCAGGACGGAACTCTAATGACGTGTAAGAGACGTGGGTACTAATGTCCTCCCTCTGTGAGTCAGGACGGAACTCTAATGACGTGTAAGAGACGTGGGTACTAATGTCCTCCCTCTGTGAGTCAGGACTCTAATGACGTGTAAGAACTCTAATGACGTGAGTAAGAGAGACTAATGACGTGTAAGAGACGTGGGTACTAATGTCCTCCCTCTGTGTAATACTAATGTCCTCCCTCTGTGAGTCAGGACGGAACTCTAATGACGTGTAAGAGACGTGGGTACTAATGTCCTCCCTCTGTGAGTCAGGACGGAACTCTAATGACGTGTAAGAGACGTCGGTACTAATGTCCTCCCTCTGTGAGTCAGGACGGAACTCTAATGACGTGTAAGAGACGTCGGTACTAATGTCCTCCCTCTGTGAGTCAGGACGGAACCCTATTGAAGTGTAAGAGACGTCGGTACTAATGTCCTACCTCTGTGAGTCAGGACGGAACCTTAATAAAGCCTGATTACTGTTGAGAACTTGCATTAAATGGTAATTGTACAAAGTAAAATACAGAATCATTACTTCACTTTTATTTAAAACAAATATCTTCTGGTGAAAATAATACCATGTTAACAAAACCACGTCACGGAGATTAATTGTAGGGATGATTTAGCACCATCCCGGACTCCAAACGTTGTGGTATCGATGAAGGACATGATTGACCTGAACTGGATTCTGGGCCGGCATCTGTGTTTTTCTATAGTTAGCTAGTTTGGCTTGCAGATTTTGGACGATGTCCGGGTGTTGGCTTGATATGTCATAATGCTCTGTGGGGTCATCTGAAAGTAAATGTAGCGTCATCTGACAATAAATGTAGCATCATCTGACAATAAATGTAGCGTCATCTGACAATAAATATAGCGTCATCTGACAATAAATGTAGCATCATCTGATAATAAATGTAGCGTCATCTGATAATAAATGTAGCGTCATCTGACAATAAATGTAGCGTCATCTGACAATAAATATAGCGTCATCTGACAATAAATGCAGCGTCATCTGACAATAAATGTAGCGTCATCTGACAATAAATGTAGCGTCATCTGATAATAAATGTAGCGTCATCTGACAATAAATATAGCGTCATCTGACAATAAATGCAGCGTCATCTGACAATAAATGTAGCGTCATCTGACAATAAATGTAGCGTCATCTGACAATAAATGTAGCGTCATCTGACAATAAATATAGCGTCATCTGACAATAAATGCAGCGTCATCTGACAATAAATGTAGCGTCATCTGACAATAAATGTAGCGTCATCTGACAATAAATGTAGCGTCATCTGACAATAAATGTAGCGTCATCTGACAATAAATGTAGCGTCATCTGACAATAAATGTAGCATCATCTGACAATAAATGTAGCGTCATCTGACAATAAATGCAGCATCATCTGATAATAAATGTAGCATCATCTGATAATAAACGTAGCATCATCTGATAATAAATGTAGCATCATCTGATAATAAATGTAGCATCATCTGATAATAAATGTAGCATCATCTGACAATAAATGTAGCATCATCTGATAATAAATGTAGCGTCATCTGACAATAAATATAGCGTCATCTGACAATAAATGTAGCGTCATCTGACAATAAATATAGCGTCATCTGACAATAAATGTAGCGTCATCTGATAATAAATGTAGCGTCATCTGACAATAAATATAGCGTCATCTGACAATAAATGTAGCGTCATCTGACAATAAATATAGCGTCATCTGATAATAAATGTAGCGTCATCTGACAATAAATGTAGCATCATCTGATAATAAATGTAGCGTCATCTGATAATAAATATAGCGTCATCTGACAATAAATGTAGCGTCATCTGACAATAAATGTAGCGTCATCTGATAATAAATGCAGCGTCATCTGATAATAAATATAGCGTCATCTGATAATAAATGCAGCGTCATCTGATAATAAACGTAGCGTCATCTGACAATAAATGTAGCGTCAACTGAGGATGAATAGGAAAACAATACATACATACTACATTGAAGAAATATTTAATCCTCTGTGATATCACTTACCTCTCAAGTTAAAGAGTTGTGGTGCTGTAGTGTTTGTTGTACTATGGTGATGAGCATGGATGTGACCGACCTGATACCAGTCACTTCTCACCCCAGCATTTCCGGTTATCAGTTTGTAGTCTCCAACTCTGGAATGTAGGAGAAGGGGGTTAGAATCCGTCTCCAGGGATGTACAGAAAGACACACAAATGAATAGTAGATTTCAAACCAAATTGAGATTCATTCCCTTAGGGAAAGTATGTTAAAAGTAAGCTGCATCATTGAATCTAGATGATAGAACCTAAGTGACAACATGGTTCTGCCTGTGGTTAAGTGGTTAATCAAGAATCAATCCCGTAATACAGACGTCCTTCTGAAAGACATACGCTATTTTACGATGATACATGTACGAGTATAAAACAGTATTCATCTTAACTTCGAAAGTATTATCTCATGTTTAGTGTTTCAGGTTTTAACGAGACAAGATAGAAATTCCGGAAAGAAAAATAGACAATATTTTTTCCAGTATTTGTTGAACATGAACATGAAAGGAACAGTGCAATATAAGTTTTATGATTAAGTCAAGATCGGTCAGAAACATGACATATCCGCACAAAATTCAGCTGGTGAAAATAACCAAGGATGATAAGTAACGTTAAATTTCACCATCGTCACGTGTGTACCTGATGGCAGAATTGCCATGGATATCGTCAATATTGTAGACGAATTCTGTTCTCGCCGAATTTCCTCCGGTCTGTAACATATGCCATTGACTGACGCCGTCCATATTGGGATCTATCAAATCAAAACAATATTCTTGTTGACAGACACATTCCACCTTACATCACCAACACGGATTATGTTGTTGACACATTCCACATTACATCACCAACACGGATTATGTTGGTGACACATTCCACCTTACATCACCAACACGGATTATGTTGTTGACACATTCCACCTTACATCACCAACACGGATTATGTTGTTAACACATTCCACCTTACATCACCAACACGGATTATGTTGTTGACACATTCCACCTTACATCACCAACACGGATTATGTTGTTGACACATTCCACCTTTCA